AATGTGGAGGAACACTTCGTGAAGGAGGAAAGGGACCGTATCATTTCTTCAACATGGAGTGGGAGGTCATTTATTTTGTGGGTCTATGGCACTGGGGAGATGTAGAAAGCTAGATAGAGAAAGAGAGTAGAGCCTCCAGTGATGGTGATCACCAGAATTGCCTCGGGCACCAGGATTGTTAGGTATGGAGACACAGAAAGAGAGTGGCTTAGGATGCCTGCTGTCACTAGGCAAGCACTTAAAGAACCACAATGGCAGGGATCAGTATAAGCCAAGCACACGAGGTGGGAAGACAGTTGAGAAAGTCTTCAAAGAGAGGGAAATATACCAGCGGAGGGCCTTTAAAATATAAATGGAATTTTGCCAAGCAGAAAGATAAAGGAATGGCGTTGACTGAAGTGGAAAGGTGGGCAGGACTTACAGCAAGGCCAGGAGTATGAAAGGGCGTGGGCGTGTTTGGGAAACAGCCAGCTGACTGATGTGGTGGGGTGGCGGGGGTGTGTTTGTGTTGGGGAAGTTGGCTGTAGAGTGGATGAGTCCGCACAGCTGGGGTTGGGTGGAGGAGAGCTTTGAGAGCCATAGATCTCTTGTGAAGGAGTTTCAGCATTATCTCATAGACCTGAAACCTCAGGGTCTTAGGTAGGGCAGCAACATAACTAGATCTTTGCTGTAGAAAAGTAATGCCAGGATCGGATAGAAGGAAGCAGGTGGGAGGCAGGCTTGCTGGGGGCAGAGGGCCAGGATGGAGTCCTAGAAACAGTCCAGAGTGAAAAACCAGAATTTGAGCCAGTGCATTGGTGGAGGGATGGAACAGACGGGAATCTGAGAGTCTTACTGAGACTCGAACATACTTGGTGATGGAGATGAGATGAGGAGGAGTGAAGAAGATGGGTGTCTAGGCTGGGTTACTGAATTGGTAGAAAGGAAAAAGAGCAGAGGAGGAAGTTTTGGGATACAGATGCTGTTTTTTGCTTTGTTTATGGTGCTCTTCTGAGGCTAGGTGGGAGGTTGAGCCAGAAGGCCCTTGCAAGCAGCTGGAAGGATGAGATTGTCCATGAACGAGATGAAAATTTAGATGAAGATAAGGGGGACATTAGGAGACAAGGATGGAAACTGGAAACAACTGATTTTTCATGCGGCAAGTATGGAGTCCTATGAAGGGAGAGCTGAGGATGCAGCCTGGGGGAGCACTGAGATTTGATGAGCGGAAGGGAGCAGGTGGAGGTGGAGACACAATGGACAGGAGGTAGAAAGCGAGAACTGTGTTGTAGATCCAAGAAGAAGTGGGTTTTAGAAAGGAGGACACACAAGAAACCAGTCAGATGAGCAGCAAGAAGCAGCCATTGGATGGAGCCCTAACCCTCCCCGGGGGTCCAGACCACCTGTTTCCAGACAAGTGGTGGCGGTTGCGGGTGGGGGAGTCCAAGTGCAGAGAGAAGGGGCCCTGGGCGCAGGCAGAAGCAAACTTCCTTTTCAAGATGCAGGTGCGCTCAGTCTGGCTGGAAGTCTCTACTGTTCTGTTTTAGATGTGCAGCTGATACAGGGCAACCTCCTCTGACCTCTGTAGTTTTAAAATTGTAACTCTCTGTCCCCACTTGTGTTCCTAGGAATTTATTTCATTGGATTGTCTGAAATCTTTACTGACTCTCAGATCATTGTTCTTGCCATCCTCCTTCCTGCTACCGGCCACCTCCCAGCTTGCCTCCCCCTCTTCCCCTTCCCTGCCCCGCCCTGCCCCAGTCCAGCCCAGACACACACATCACTTTATTGTGTAATTACATTGAAAGTGCCCAAACTCTTCATTCATTTGTTTCTGCTCCTGATGTTTTTAATTAGCTGCCCTGCAACGGGGGAAATGTCTTCAAGTGATTTCTATTTATTGCTGGAACAATAACAATTTATGCTAATCTTATATCGCCTGAGAAGGCCAGAAAGCTTTGTCTTTGGAAAGCTTGAAGAAGGTAAATGCACATTGTTTGGCTAAATGAAGAGGGGAGGAGGTGGATTTGCATGGTGGGAGGGTTGGCAGCTCACCCAAAGGAGGGTGACCCTCCAGGCTGTCAACACCACCCCCCCCCCCCCCCCCCGTGCTTGAGAGCCAGGCTCCCTGACAGCAGTGTGCATCAGCCCAGGATAGTGTATGGAAAAGGACCACGCAAGGATTAGGAAACCTAAATTTCCTTTTCTGAACCTTACTACCTATGCGACTGAGCCCCAGCTTCTCTATCTGCAAAATGGAGGCGACAGTCCCACCCTGTACACTTTTTGGGGTTGCTGCAAGAATTGGATTAGTTGATGAGTGCCAAAGCAGTTTGTGAATGCCAAGTGCTACACGGCCTCTGCGATTACTCATTTCTTTCTCCTTTAGGAAGGTAGTGAGAGAAAAGGTTTATGGAATTTTTTCAGCACGTCCATCCCAAGGTAATGTCATTGAGTGGAACCAGGCAGATTTTTAGTTTTTTTCTATAGTAAAACATACATAATATAAAATATATCCCTTTGACCATTTGTAAGCATGTAGTTTAGTGGCATTAAGTCAATTCACACCATTGTGTAACCATCACCACCATCCACCTCCAGATGTCGTTTCTCTTCCCAAATGGAAACCCTGTCCCCATTAAACCCTGACTCCCCATTCTCTGCTTCCCCAAACCTGGCAACCACCATTCCTCTTTCTAGGTGTGCATTTGACAGCTCTGGGTACTTGTGTAAGTGGAATCGTATGGTACTCGTCCTTTCAATTCTGGCCTCTTCCCTTTAGTCTAACGTCTTCAGGGTTCATCCACGATGTGGCAGGGGCCAGAATTCCATCTCTTATATGACTGAGTAATCACAGTCCATTGTATGGATAGACCACATTTTGTTTATCCGTTCATCCGTTGATGCATATGTGGGTCATTCCCACCTTTCGGCTGTTGTGAATGATGTGGCAGTGAACATGGGTACACGAATATCTGTTTGAGGCCCTGCTCTCTATTCTTCTGGTAGCATGCCCAGACCTGGGATCGCAGACTGAATTTCACCCTGAGAGAATGGGACTGTAGCCTTGGCTTTGTGACTCTACTGGGGAACTGTTGATGGAGACTCCTGGAGTCATGGCGGGCATCCTTGGCCATCGGGGGCCTGTCTTGTGTCCTTTCATAGTTAACTTGTGGTTAAGCCCCAGCTGCTTAGCATGTGAAGCCCCTTATGTATTGATGTCCCACTGTCCTGCCCTCACCCAGGGTTGCAGATACGTCCATCCCTCCTGAAGTCAGGGACAAAGACAGCCCTCAATCCAGGAGCGGCAGCAGCCCACCAGCACTGGCTCCCATGGAGACCCTAGTCCCCTCCTTCTCCTGTCCTGGGTCCAGGGGTCAGTTCACACATAGAAACCTCACTTCCCACTTTGTTTTCCAGGAAGGGAAGAATTGGTTTCCTTTGGTGAAGTCTGTTGGCAAGGAATGTCTGACTCATCTCATCCCTTTGAGAAATCTGTTATGCGTTTTTCGTATTTATATTTCATAATCATTGTTCTGGTTGGTTTTAGAAGGTTTCTGTCTCTGTGAGGCACATAGTACTGTGAGGGAGAATCCTACTCAACTGGTGATTTTGGATTTGGGCAGATCTTTGTTCTCTTATTCTCCATTTGGTTCTTTGGTGGAAAGCCGATCTTGCCCCTCAGGTTTATATAATTACATAGAGACATGAAGGTAGCTGAGCTTCTTCTCTCAAGTTTATGTTCCAGAAGGAACGCTGGCTGAAGACTCACAGTTAATTGCACTAAGTAAAGTGAATTCCTCTCACTGGAAGGGATTTTAAAACACATACACGTTTGTATTTTCTTTGGTCTGTGACGGAGGCATACCCTTGTCAGATGGGTAAGGACAGAAAGAGAAAAGTACATTTTCCTTGCCTGATCATCTCTTTGATGTTGGCTGAAGAACAGAGACCCTGAGGCTTGGGGATTGGGATGACTTTGGTCCTTCTAGTGGTTTCTTTTGATACATGACGGTTTATCTCTAATTATAACTGTGTAGAAGCCATGTGTAATGTCTCTCTGAGGAAAAAAGAGTTGCTCCTTGAAGTCTAGGGACAGGAAGTGACTCAGTGGACCACAGTTTTTCCTTGCTCCGTGTGCACAGAGCCCAAGTTACTGGGGCCTGGAGTGGGTAGAGCCTACTTCTGTTTCAGGCCTCAGGGAAGTTCTGCCCCCCAGGCCGAGTGTGGGACCCAGGCCCTGCCTACTGGCAGATGGAGGAGGTGACAGGGGTTGGGGACACAGTGGCCACTGAGGCGCTGGGCTCTGAGGCTCGCTGACCACAGGGGTCTTCTGCAGAGAAATGAGCCCTCTGACCCCAAATGTCCAGGTTGTATTTCCAGTGTGTTATTCTGCCTTTGCAGAGTTCTCTTCACAGTTTCAGGCAGAAAAGTCTCCCCCACTCAGGGCATCCTGTATGCCTTTGTTTCAGAAAACAACTTAGAACTTTCGGGTCCCGACCAATTAATTGACCCCATGTCGTTACCACGTGTTACACCAACTCATACTTCAGTTACATCTTTACCTGTCGGCAAGAATTAATTGATGTTTGTGACAGGCTCTGAAATTTTCTTGGAATAGAGGGGCCTGTGAGCTATCTAGAAATTTGAGCATTACTTTCTTGCTTACTTGGGGGTGGGGGTGCTGGCCCCGGAGGTGGACACAAATTTTCTCTGCAGGAACCAATCAGGAGCATCCAAGTTTGCTCTAAGGTGACTGCCACCATGTTGTTCCGCAGGGGCTGGGAGTTGCGCCGACCCAGGCAGACATCCCCCTGTCCCCTTGCACGAGGGTGCTTTGCGTGTGTGCACTGGTTTGCCTAAAGAAGTCCAGTATGGAGTGATGCTGGCCAAAAGGTTGCAGTCATGCTGGCAATAGTTACTATTCCTTAAACCTTGGGAATGGGATCGGAGGAGACCCTGGGGATCCCCAACTCCCGAATCTAAGCCTTCTTCTTCTTCTTTTTCTCCTTTGTTTACAGCGGGGCATTTTCTGAAGTGGTCTTAGCTGAAGAGAAGGCCAGTGGCAGACTCTTTGCAGTGAAATGCATCCCCAAGAAGGCGCTGAAGGGCAAGGAGAGCAGCATAGAGAACGAGATCGCTGTTCTGAGAAAGTAAGTGCCCCAGGAGACGACCTCCTTCCCCCACCACCACCTTCGGATTCTTTGGGTCCCCATCCAGGGGAAGGAGAGGGCGCCAGGGGCTGGGCGCCTGGCGGTCAATGATTGGAATGCTGGAGGGGGTGGGCGCTCTTACCGATGACTGACATTCCTGTGGTGCGTTCAGAGCACGTTGTGTGTATCTCTATCTATCTATCTATCTATCTATCGATATCCATCTCATCTCACCCCTTTTGTGGCAGCCATTGGAGTTTCGATTTCCAAAGAACGTACCAGTCAGGTAGACTTGGTTTTGAACTCACGCTCACTCAGAGACCTGGGGCTGGTCACTGAACTCCAAGCCTTCCTCGTGAACAGAAGTTAAGAATCTCTCCCTCACCGAGGTCCTCAGGAGGAAGGGAGGTGGTGCCTAAGCAGAGTTTCTAAGGCGCTTTCCACGGCACCTGCTACGTTGTGAGTCATGAGTGCTCAATAGAGGGTAGCTAACGCTGTCCCCGGGGCTCATACTGTTTCTGTTGTCTTGTTGTCGAGGCTTGATTTTACAAGCAGGAGATGAAGCTCAGAATAAAGTCACTTGTCCAGTGCTCTGTGGCTCCTAGAGAGCAGAGCATGGAGTGCCAACACCACCAGAGTCCTTTGCACACTCTTTAATGGGTCTTCTGCTTCCTGCCACACACATGGTTCCTGGCATCCAGCAAGTTCCACAGAGAGCACTGTTCAAGAGTTTCACCTCTTCGTTGGGTTTTAATTTTGTTTGCCATGTGTGCCTAGAACTGAATCAAAATCCCGCCTCCAGCATGGTGCCACACACAGAGCCATTCTGATGTGGCTGGGTCCCTCCTAAAAGTGATGTCTTAATGGGTGCTGTCCAGTCTGTTCCCTGTGTCGCCACAATCAAGCCATTCCCCTGTGTCTCACAGGGTTGGGGGAACAAGCCCTTATAGGGTACATGCTTTTGCATGTTTGGGGAGTGTATCTGAGCATTATGCTATGAAATTTTTAAGAGCTTCTATTAATAAAGGATGTTAGAAATATCCTTGAAATGTTTGGGGTTTGGAGTTGGCACAGAGCAAGAATCTGTGCACAGATAAGCAAAGCAGAGTGGGAACAAGCCTTCTAGGGGCTCAAAACAAAATGTTACCTACTCACATTCCTCCTGCATAACCCACCTCTCCCACTTGTCTCTCTGGGACCCCTAGTGCCTGCTGAATGATGCTGTCTTGCCCTTGGTACAAACCCAGGGCCACCAACGTGGTCAGGATGGTCTGTCCTATTCTGCTGTTGTATGTGATACGTGTTCCAGAACAAATGGGTCTCAACAGCTTTTTGGCAGAAGGATTTTTGCTTATTTGTTTGGTTGTTTGGTTGGTTTCTAGGTTCTCTGGATTGTCTATCTGGGACCTAAAGAATTTCAGATTGTCCTGGGGAGGATTGCATGAAATGATCCTATGGAAGAGAATTTGGGACAACCAATTACTCTAAGTACATTAACATCAAGCAGGAAGACACCATGTTAATGAAACATCTATTTAAATTGCTCATTTTTCAATATGAACTCAGGACTGGGGGAAGAGGGCGTTTGCTGGGTCTTGCAGCCACCCTGCAGATATTTGACATTTCAGATGGAATTCTGAGTGGGCCCAGAACCTTCCAGAGTGTTGACCGTGGGCACAGGGGCTGCCCACGGCCGAACCGAGAATGGCACCTTTATTTTTAGGTGACTCCCTCATAGGCTTCGAAGCCACAAAGCCAGGGAAGTCAGGTTTTATCCTCAGAGTTATTCTGTGTCTACACGGGCAGGGTGGGGGCAGACAGAGACTTCAGAGGCCAGCCTTGGTTTTTGCTATGGTCATTCTGCTCTAATTAGTGTCTCAACCTGCGCCTGTGTCAGTAATCACTTCCCGGGAGAGGGCATTGAACAGCCGGGCAGGCTGGAGTTTGGAGTAATTCATTTTGGTCACTTCTCACTATCAGCTGTTGAAGTGCCTTGAAGTGTGACCCTTCTTTCGGGAATAAAGAACAAAGAAATGATTTCTTCTCAAGGGGTAAGAAGGTGATAAATCTCCCATGCTGATTGATTGATTTATTGATTTGGGTTCTCTGCCAGTGATTTATAAGTGGGGAAATGAGGCAGTTACACATCTTAAGCAGCCAAAAGCAGGGGCTCCTGGGTGGCTTAGTCATTAAGTGTCTGCCTTCGGCTCAGGTCATGATCCCAGGGTCCTGGGATCAAGCCCTGCATAGGGCTCCCTGCTCAGCAGGAAGCCTGCTTCTCCCTCTCCCACTGTCCCTCCTTGTGTTCCCTCTCTCACTATGTCTCTCTGTCAAATAAATAAAAAAAATCTTAAAAAAAAAAAAAGGCAGCCAAAAGCAAAGCATACAAATGGTAAAGAAAAACAGTTTTGGAAAGGTTAGAGTGGCATCGTCACAACATTCAAACATTTAACCAATATTTCGTAAATTCCTATGATTCAGGGGGCAATGGCACTGCTAGGCACCGAGGTTGGAAAGATAAGATATCATTCTGGCCTTCTGGGAGTTTACAACTGTGTTATAAATAAGTGTGATAATGTAGATGCCGTGAAAGAAGGTCTGACCAGGGGCTCAAGGCACAGGGTGCCCAGTTCTTCCTTCGGGGAGGGGTGTGAGCCAAGGTTGTATTTTGCTGGGGGCAGAAAGGGGGTTCCTCAAACCAGGAGGGGGCTGCACCAGCAGAGGTCAGGGGATGGGAGGCAGGCTGGTGTGCTGGGAAGTGGCTCATTTGACTATGGCAGACTGTTCAAGGTGAGGGACAGAGACCTGAGGTTGGAGAAGTTGTACTGGGGGTGATCGCATACCCCACTTTGGACTTTGAACATCATTCTATAGATAGTGGGGGGCCACTGAAGGATTTTAGTGGAAGAGCGTGATCAGGATTGTTTCATTAAGATTATTGTGGTGGAACCCTGGATGGGTCTGAGGGGACGAGACAGTGCAAGGGAGTGGTTTGGAGGCCGTTGGAGGAGCCTGGGAAGCAACGCTTTGAAACAGGAGCTGTGAGCTAGGATGGGAGAGACAGAGATGAGGGTGTGTACAAAATGGAATGCCTAAGACTTAGGGATCTGGAAGAAGTGGGGAAAGGGTTGAGAAGAGATAGGATTCCAGGATAACCCTCAGGTTTCTGATTGGATAACTGAGATCAGGAGTGTGAGCACTGGAGGGCAGGTGATGAGTTCTGATTTAGACACACTGAGTTTGAAGGTCTTGGCATGGCCAGGTGGGGATGGCCGCTTGACTAAGCTAGGTCTGGAATGTGGCTGTGATCTGGACTTGCTGGATATTAAAACTTTCCGAAACCAATAGAACAGAAAACTTTGTGATACTTTCCATAGCTAAATCATTTAGATGAGATTACAAAGAGACCTGCTTTATTCCAAAATTCTGCTATATACCCCAGCCATTTGTGTATTTCTGGGCCATTTTTCATTGAAGCAGGCCCGTCTGAGCATGGCTTGTCCTACGATGTGCTGAGTTCATTGCAGGGTGAGAGATTTATGTCTTTCATTGAATAGAAGTAATGTAGCTAATTTATCCTTAAGCATGTCTTCATACTTGCTCTGAAAATAGTTCTAAAATGAATTTTCTACTTGATAAGTGGATATGAAGCCAGGCTCAGAGGGAATAACAAGTGACAAGCATCATGGTGGACAGTCGCTACAGAGCAGAGAGCTGCTGGCCTGACTTTGGCATCGAGGGGGCTGGATAGCTCTGATTCCATGTCAGTTTCTCTAGCAGCAAGGCTGGTTTTCGTCCCATGAATGGAGACTTTTGTGCCTTATGGAATATCATATGTGATATCATCCCCTCATTGCATTATAGAACTTATAGTTTTTGTGCTATTATTTACTTAGAGGGCAGGCACTACCCAAATCTCATTTCAGGGCAACACACAAGACATTTTGTGGAGAAGGAGAAAGGCAAATATACAGCCAGCTTGTATTTAAATGAGAGATGAAGAGAGAGGGAGATGGAAAATAAATGTATCTAGAGGATCCCTTTTCCTAATGGCAGGGGAGGGGACTGAGGCTTAGCTGGGTTGCAGGGGCACCATCTGAATGAAACATGGCCCTGGAGCTCAATGTGCTTTTCCAGTGTTTACTTTGTAGGCTGCAGAGATTATCTTGTTGGGGGCGGGGGTGGAGGTGGGCGAGAGAGGGGTAGGGATCTGGGTAGGACTGGCTTTTAAATTGGATGTTCTCCATCTGGGTACACTGGGGAGTCTCAGTTGAACATCTTTGTCATTTTCTCCCGAAATCAGTGGCTCTTCACCCACATTAAAATCACCTGGAATGCTTTTCAGAACATCAGATGCTCAGGCTCCATCCGAGACCAACTACGTTGGAGGTTATGGGGAGTGCTGCCCCTGCTCCCCACCTAGCGATTTGGACACTCAGCTGGCTGTGTTGAGAAGAGAATCTTCGAGCACTGAAAAAATAAAATTAAATTTAAAAAAAAGAAAAGAAAAAAAGAAGAAGAGCTGCTTAGGGCCCTTGTCTCCTAGTCGCACTGCCCAGGGGGTGAAAATGCTCTTCTGTGCCCAGCAGCGTGGAAAGATGTGTCCACACACAAACACATCGGACAATGCTTCCTTTAGGTGAGAGGTTTCTCTTAGAGGAGGGAACTCAAAGAGCTGGATTTCATCGGAAGCAAGGGAAATTGACTTGAGCCCGCTATCCCGTTCGTGGGGAGAAGGCACAAGCCGCTGGCTGGGCTCGAGAGGGGCTGCTGGCTCTTTGAAGGGGGCAGAAGAAAGAGGGGGAGGAAGAGCCATTCTTGGACTGAAGAAGCTGGTGTCGGGGTTGGTCAAGGCAGCATGACTCAGTGACGGGGGTACACAGTCTGAAGGGGATAGAAGCCACTGAAGGGGGCAGATGCCAAAGCCCAGGATTCCCTATGGCCAAGGTCAGGATGGGTTGCAGGAAGTGTGGTGAAGCTGGGCCTTCTGGAGAGAGAGT